AACGTGGCTTTGCTATAAATAACAAACAAATAAACTCATGCTCCTAGTTTGAGAATCACTGTAGTAAATTATAGTTTTCCCTATTAGTTTGTTTAGTAACACAAACTTCATTGGCAATTTTAATCGCAGGATCGTATTAATAACTTCGTTATTATTTGAATTGTTATCTGCCTCTTCATCAGTAGCTTGTTGTTGGTTTTGATAAAACTGAATCATTTCTTTAATAACTTACTCTAAAACGTCACTCATTAAGATTATTTTTATTACTTCCTGAATTTTTTTGGTGCACAGGTTTAGTGGTAAGTATGAAGGCTTATACCTCTAAAAGCCGAGTTTCGATATCCGTGATGGGCACAGCATAAATAGCCCATTATGTTAGTTTTTTTTTGTTTTTTTTTGCTTAACAATCAACCGACCAAGCATTCTATTGAATTTATAAATTAATATTGAACGTACTTATTTCTTGATATATTCATCACAGTTCTCAAACTAAGGACGAAAACTGAAACGCAGATGAATTGAAAGACGAACTAACACCGTAACAATAGCAGATTAGTGAATATGATAATATGTGATATATGATCGTTATGCTAACAGGACAAATATCCTAGTGAATCCTTAGGTTACAAGCTTAAAACGCCACACGTTTTGATTTCTTTCATTTTTTTCTCCTCTGGTATCCATTGATTGTGTGCACTGCTATAATGTTTCTTTTTATTAGCCTGCATTCACTGATCCCTGGAGTTTTATCTAATCACGTTAACATCCACTTGCTGTGATTTAATCCATTTATGTTTTCATTTGAAAGGTTTCTACTTCAAACTTCGCTGTTGCTTCAGGGACGTTGTTGTTCTGGAGGGCAGCATGACTATATTTCAAAGTCTCCCGGGCAAAGCACGTTGTCACCTTTCTACTGAGTCGACCGACCGTCAACCCCTACTTTTTATTTTTTCTTCTGATCAAAATCTACGAAGCCTTGTCAGTATTATACGATTGTTTCAGGTTTGGCAAAATTGTGCCGGTACAACTCGGCACGTGCCACCTTCAACAGGAGCGTCGCGTCCCACTCGAGAAAGCGTGGGAAAATGATAGCAACAACTGGGTTAATTCTGAAGAGCACGTGTTGTCCTGCCCAGTGTTTTCAATAGAAACCTTGAAACTTTTTCTATCTTATCCAGTATTAAGTAAGAAAGGTAACGTAAAGCGCTGTTATTGCTCGGTTATTTCAAATATGACAATTATCATGGTGGGATTTCGGAGAAAATCTTAGTCTCAAAGTAATAACCAAATAACAAATAGTAAACCTTGAGTTTGATCGATCTATCCGCAAGTGACGCGATGTTTCTAGAAATATTGATATGCATATATGTCAAAGTTGAAATACCCATCAGCTGACTGGGAATGTTTAAACTTAATCAATTAAAACAACGTAAGTTTAACAGCAACCATATATTTCAAAGTAATAACTTGAACATAAACTTCAACTCACAATTTTAAAATTATAACAAAGCTTCTTCATAAACAACATTTGTAGTTTGCTTTCCATCTACCAACAAATAAAGATTTTGAGGTGATCCCACCCTTGAACACCCTACATCTCATTGACCATGAGAAAAGCATGGTTGTTTGAGAAACAATCCAACAATATTCCTACTCTGACCTTGAATCCCTTTAGAATATTCAACATTGTCTAAAGCGTCAACCTACCAAGATTGTTTGAGATTGACCCAATAGGATGTAAGTAATTAACCAATAGGCTTTACAAAACAGAAATAGGTTTAAGTTCAATAATTCATAGTGTTAGCATACACATTTTGGTTGAGATTGGCCCAATAGGCTCGGAGGAATTAGGGTGCAAACAAACACATATTTCATCTTTATATACATACATATATATTTGCTACATACTGTCTTCAACACACACACTGTAACAATAATTAAACGTTTAAGGAGAGCGACTTCTCAGTGTAGATGAGGCTACTCAATTATATTTTATTTGTGTACAATTTACCAATGTTTCATTTTTATTTGTAATAATTATATGTTTGTCTGATTTGTTTGTTCGTTGAGGTTCGCGCAATTTAGAAGTGATAGATAGAGGAAGGCAGCTAGTCAACACCACCCGCACGACCACTCGTTGGCTACTCTACTTAACCAACGAATAGGAGGTACTTACCGTGTACACTATTAACTAACCTACCCCTACCCACACGTCGTAAGAAA